CAAAGGCTTCCGGTACTGCACGAAGCCGAGCGGGGCACACTCGGGCTGGGATTACAGGTGGGAGCTGGCACAATCGAGTCTTTCTGAAGTGCACGAAGAACACCAGTCGCCTGTGGTCCGAGACACCAGAAACCAATCTTTCATCCTGTTTCATCTGTACTTCCTCGTTTTCCTTCTTTTAATTCTTTTATCCTCTGGGAGGTTGATTAGATCCATATTTAGAAACACAGGAAAGAGAAGCTCCATGCTTTCCAGCAAAAAAATGAAAAACCAAACAATGATTGAACACTTTTCTGTTCATGGTTAAACCCAGCAGTGATTCCCCATCCCTAAAACTCTCCAAGACTGAGGGAAACTGCCCTAAAGCAGGATGTTTACTTCTTCCTGTGTCTGTTTCCCACCTGAAATCACAAGAAGACAGATTCCCAGCAAAGGAAAACAATGGGCATTTTGCCACTCCTTGTCTTACCCACAATGCCACGCTTCAGCTCAGCTCTTTATTAATAACCACAGTAAGTAGTTGTGATGCCACAATGAATAACAAGCCAATCAAGGATGCTGTTTATTTTTTCTTCCTATTTTATCAAAACTGGCTGCATGGTCTTCTCAACAGAGAGAAGCAGGTAAGGGTACCTTTCAAAAATTCAATATACTGCCCTAGTCAGCTTGGCTCAGTGGATAGAGCGTCAGCCTGTGGACTGAAAGGCTGCGGGTTCGATTCTGGTCAAGGGCATATGCCTGGGCTGTGGGCTCGGTTCCCAGCTGGAGGGCGTGCAGGAGGCAGGCAATCAATGATTCTCTCTCATAATTGATGTTTCTATCTCTCTCTCCTTCTCCCTTCCTCTCTTAAATCAATAAAAATATATATTTTAAAAACATTCAATATACTATTTGAACCACATCTCTGTTTCTGATATTCATTTTAATTTTAAGAAAGATAAAGAGAAAGCTAAATAAATTTGATCCTAGCTATCATTAAACCTGAAAGGACCTCAGAGCTCACATATTCCAAGCATTCATGTTTCAGGTAAAGAACCGAAACTGAGAAAGGTAAAGGGACCAGGTCACATGGCTGGTCACTGACAGAGTAATTGGGGGGGGGGGGGGCAGGGAGCTCAAATCTGAGTTCTCCAGGCTCCTTAGCCAGAGCCCCTAACCTTCCACCTTCCTTGAGGCTGGCACCTGGGCCACCTCAGCATTTGCTTCTCCCAATTACAAGAAGGGATATGAACAAATAAATTGCCAAATAAACATGGTCCTAATTTTACATAGATTTATATACTCAAGATGGTAGCCTCATCACCATATAGCAGGATTTCTTCCCTAGGCACTTTGGACACATAGGGTCACATAATTCACTAGTGCACTGTAGAATGTTCCCTAGCATTCCTGGCCTCCACCCTCAAGATGCCAATAGTGGCTCCCCATGGACCTGAAACCAAAATTTCTCCAGATATTGCCAATGTCCTCTGAGGACAAAATTGCCCATTGAGAACTCCCATATTGTCCTGGTTCCTGCACACCCATCAGCCACCAGGAAGCCTTTGGTCTTCAGATGCCGGAGCTCTGGGTGATGCAGGCGCTTTCAGTATGCCACCTATGGATGGCGAGGGCAGGCCCCTGACTTCCTCTCAGAAAGACAGAACAGTGACCCCATCCAGTCACAGAATGATCAGGACAGAGTACGTTTAGAAAAAGAGAGCAAAATGGTAAGGGTGAAAATAATAAAAGGAGAACTGGGAGGAAGAAGAACAGTAAGAAACAGCGGGAAGGGAAGTGGAAGGAAGAGAGAGGTCAGCAGACAGAGGGGTTTCAGAGTGCTTGCAGGACAGAGCAACCTGTGAAAAGAGAAAGGGGCATATTTCATCAGGCCTGATTTTCTAAAAAGGCAACTCAGTCTGAGATAAAGGGCCAAGAACTTTCCAGCAATTCATTGTGAGGCTTTAGGGAAGGACCATTGTGGCCAGATGACGGGCCTCGGGGGAGTCCTATGTGAAGCGCTTTGTAAAGGCCTGAATGCTTAAGACCGAAGCCCTTTAAGACAGCCTACCCTGGAGTGTCACCCACCTCACTGTTCCTGGTACACAATGAAGCTGAATGCCGCTTTCGTTTTATAATAACAAGCCTTTAAAACACGGAGGGTGACTCTTCACAACCAAAGTACAAATCAATTTCTTTAACTACTACTTCCCAGAAACCTATTGAATCTCGAACACCCCCTGGGGAACAGCAAGGCTCTGGGCATTGTACAGACGGTTGATCTTGGAGAGCTCCGGGGACTGGCTGAATGGAAGCTCTAGATCTGACTCAATTCCAAATGAGCGTGGATAGCAACACACTCATTTCTGACTCTGGTCAAGGTAACATTTGGCAATCTGACCACTCAATTCTTACAGTGCCTCTTCTTCTGTACATGCTTAAAAAGACACATCAGAGAAAGGTTCTTCTAAAAAAAAATTACTACGGCAGTTCGTTTTCATGGGTAAACAAAATGAACGACAACAACAAAAACGCCTCTAATCCTATGATTCTCAAACTTTAAAGTGCAGAGGACTCACCTGAGGATGCTGTTAAAATGCACATTCTAATCTAGTGGGGTGGGGCTAGAGATTCTGCATTGCTAACAAGCTCCCAGCCGGTGCTCATATGGCTGGTGGTCGGAGGACCACACTTTGAGTAAGAAGGCACTGAGTGTAATCCATTCTCCAAAATCTTCTCTCTCATAGTATTTCCCTCCTGTACAAATCCTCTTATGACGAATTGAAGCTCTTCATGATATAACCCCAATTTACCTTCAGCTCCACTAACTCCCTTCCCCTAACCCTATGTACTCTGAAGCAGCCACACCAATTAATTCTGTGTTGTTACCTAAAATGTCATGCCCACTGCATGTCCCTGGTATGGCCCCACGGTTCCCTCTGCCTGGATAGCTCTATCACCATAATCTTCACCCTTCCCTCTTAGGACCTAAGTCAAATGTCGCCTCCAAGAAGCATTCCCCAAGCCCTCTAGGAATAAGGCATTCCACTCGCCACATCTTGCACTTGGCATTAAAATATCTACACTGGTGTGTCCTATTTTCTGGAAAGTTATAGCCCATCCAAGAAAAGTATAAAACTACCTGGAGTCTAATTTGGGGGTTTAAAAGAGTTTCTAACTTTCACATCCCTGGCTCCTAAAGAAAGGAGTCCATGGGTTAATCCTCTGAGATAAAAATTCCATAGGATTTTTTGGCCCCAAAATGAGAATTTACTACCAGTGTTCCAGGCACTCTGAGATATATCCCACCTACTTGAGAGTATCACTGAGAGTAGCCCCCACCCCTGCATCGTGGATTTTTCCAGGTTGTCTCCAAGATCATCAGCATAAACGATCTCCCATTATAAAAACAAAACATATACACAATGAAAACACCCTCCCTTGCCCCTAAATGATTCTCCACCCCTTTATAACAAAACTCCAAAAAGTTGTCAAATTCACCATCCCCTCTCCCTCCCCTTCCATCCTCTCTTAAACCACATCTGTGCTAATCAAACAAAAGATCAAAGCATTGCAAAAGCAATAGTCAACTTCCCAGACTCCTCACACTTGATCTACGGGCAGCGCCAGACGCAGCTGGTCACTCCTCACCCTGAAGCCCTTTCTTTGCTTGTCTTCTGGAACCTAACATCTTTCTTCTCCTTCCCCCAGCTGCTCTGTTCCGGGCTCCTCTGCTGGACCCTCTCCTTCCCGAACTCTAAACACTGAAGGGAACCAAGGCTCTGATTCAACATCGCCAGATCAGAAGCGCGTTCTGGTGCCCTCGCTGAATCAAACACCTCATCAGGATCTGGGCCCCTAACCTAACTCATTTGCACTCATTTGCACTTCTCTCTTCTCTAGCTACCCTTCGTCCCCAGGAGGTCACGTGCAATCCCACAGCTTTAAATACCATGGAGAAACTAAGGATGCTCAAATTTATACTTCCAGTCCAGACTTTTCCCTGAAATCTAGACTTCGATGACCTCAAAATGAACATGTCTAGGGTAAGTTACTGACACACACTCCCCACCAGTCCGTCCTGTCTGGTAAAGCTGAGGTTCTGTGCTACAGTTGCCCACACCACAACCCTGGAGGCATCTTGCCTCCTCTTCTTATCTCATAGGCCCCATCCTCTCCACCAGCACATCCTGTCAGCAACACCGTCAGCACTGCAGAAGCTGAGTCCCTCGGCTGTCACCTCAAGTCCACCTACCATCATCCTTTGCCTGGAGCCTTAAAGGCTCCTTGCTGGCATTCTTGCTCCCATCCCCACTGTCATGTCAGAGCCAGAGTAAACCTTTAAAAACCCAAATCAGGCCACAGCACTGGTCTTCTCAAAACCTCTAAACACACATCTTCTTCAGAATAAAACTCAATGTCGTTCCTAAGGCCTTTGAGTCCCCACATGACCCGGGGCTCCTCCTACCTTACAAATCTTATCCCCTAGCAACTGCCCCTTCAAACACTCTGCTCCAGCCTCACTCCCCTCCCCACTGTTTCTTGTACAGTGTTCCTGCCTCATAGCTTTTTCCAGATTCTCTGCCTGCATAGTCACAAAGCCCAGCCTGCACCACACTGAGGACTCTGATCCAACGTCCCCAGACCAGAAAGCGCATTCCTGGTCCAGTGTGAGTCAGATTCCGTCAAGATCTAGACCCCTTACCTCCTTCCTCCCTTTTAGCGTGGATTCTTTGTCTGTCTCTGCTAAAATATAAACTTCATAGAGCTGGGCCTTACTTATTTTGTTCAGGGCTGTATTCCTTAACACAGGGCCTGGCAAACAGTAGGTGCTCAATACGTTTTTACAGGATGAATAAATGAATGTCATTAGAAAGTCAAAAAATAATTCTATGTGCTTATACATTATGGGGGAAAAATGGCAATATTCCAAAGGAATTTTTAGAAAACCCTACTAAACCATATTCGTTCAGACAGTAAGTCTTGACTAAGAGCCTGTAATGCAGAGAAAAGACACTCACTTCCGGATCACTGTCCTGGACTCTGGTGAATTCTGGCTCCCATCTTCTTCACAGTTTGGGCTTGTCAGGTTTCCATACCTTTATGGGTACAAACAAACAAAACCCAGTCAATGGTGCTGGAAGCCACTCTACTCAATTCAACCATGAAAGAACATTCTTTCAGGAATAATTTAGGAAAGAAATATTTATGAAATAGCATCAAAAATGACATTGGATTACTGATATTTACTTAATGGGTCTATTGGCCTATTCTAAATAAAAAAGTGACAATGAATCACCCTACTTAAACTTTCTCTTAGTAGTTAACATTTCTTTGAATTTTTAAAAAATGAAATTAGGCTTTTCCCCTCAGCAGAATAATCAGATGCTACATGACCCTTTGTGAACCTTTTTTTGTTGTTATTAATTCTCACCCGAGAATATTTTTCCATTGATTTTTAGAGAATGGAATGGAGGGGGAGACACACATTGAGAGAGAAACATTGATGTGAGAGAGACACATCAATTGGTTGCCTTCTGCATGCACCCCAACCAGGGCCAGGGATCAAGCTTGTAACTGAGGTATGTGCCCTTGACTGAAATCAAACCCTGGGCCCTTCAGTCCACAGGCTGACACTCTATCCACTGAGCCAAACTGGCTAGGGCCCTTCGTGAACTCTTGAGCACATGACTCGACACCCCCAGCCCTTTACTGCGTCCACCAGCCACGGCCCTGCTGACACAGCTTTCACACGTGCCACAAGTGAGCACAAAGTGACAACCCCACACTGACTGTGGTCTCTTCAAGGATAAGTCCTGTTCGAAAAGAATTATGGACCCTCAAGTGCTGGCTGAGATAGAGACAAGGACCAAAGAGCAGAATTGTTATATCTCAGGAGAGCAGCTGTGGGTACATTGAGGCTGGGCCGACCGAGACACAGCAACTAGGGAAGGGGGCACTGGGCACAATATTTTAGGAAGCAACAGGTGCTTAAATGTTAAAATTTGGCTCAGTACATACTCAAAATTTACTAAATAACTGATCAGTCCCTGGTTAGCTATTCTTCCAACTCTGTATGTAAGCAAGTCTATTTCATACAAATATATCATGTTTTATTTGGTTCAGAATGTACATGTAGTAAGTTTACTTGGAATTCTTCAGGCGCCTTTACATTCACATATAATGCTTACACTATTTCTGTAGTTCATCTTCCCATCAATGACGAATTCAGAGATTCCTTGGAATTTCCCAAGCTGACAGTCTGTGCCAAAGTTTGGATGATAGAAATTCTACAACTGGTGGCTTTACATTTTTAAAGAGCACACTTTTATCTTCTACTAATGGGATTAAAGGCCCCACCACCCTTATGGTTCCTGGTTTCTAGGATTTAAAATCCTTTTAAAAATAAAAATCCACCATCTGGTTTGACCGAATGCCAGTCTGTCTGGTCGGTCTCCTTATCCCCCTATCCCGGTAGGTTCCAGTCTGTGCCCTTAGGCATTAACTGCCGCCTCCCATCCACCTGCTCCTTTTTCGAGCTTGTCAGCCTTATGGACTCCTCGGCCTCCCTGAAATATTTTCCACTGGCCTCCGCCCTCCCTGCTCCTCCTCATGCTGCCCTGCTGCCCTGCACCTGCTACTTAGAGGGCTTCTAGGGCCACCCTTTGCTTTTCCAGAGACAACAACTCAGTCAGATTAAGATTTACTCCGCCCCATGTGAGCAATGCAGGGGTAGATTCCTAGTAAATAAACAGAGTGGAATTTCTGGCTCTCTCCTTGGCCACCACCATAGTGAACTGAGTCCTCCTGTTCTCTCACAATAGGCTTTGGGGTTGACTTAAGTAGGAAGGCTGTGGGGCAGGGTGCAGGGTGCAGCGCGGCTCTGAGAGCTCTTCTTGCCCAACCTCCATTAATTCTCACCCTGGTTATGTCAGAAATATTGCATGTTTTCTCTTCCAACGGGGAGCCACGAGTGAGAGAAGTAAGAAGGAAAAACTCTTTCAAAGAAAAGACGCACATTTTACTGCTCCTGTGATTTCCTCTTCAGAGCTGTTTGTGCTAACAGTTTCCTGATCTTCCTATTCCTTCTGTACTTGAGCTTCTCCAGCTCTGCTGCTCTTTCTCGGCATTTTCCGGACTCAGAGCTGAGATGCTGGCTGGGATGACACCCACACCGACCACAGCTCCGCTCCCAGAGGGACGAGCCCCCGGTGCAGTCAGATGTGTGGAGAAGGACTAAGCAACCCTCCCTGGTGAGCTAAGCTCTCTCTCACGAATTAAGTGAGGACCATTTTCTCAGAATGTGGGCCTAGAGCAGTGACGGCGAACCTTTTGAGCTCGGCGTGTCAGCATTTTGAAAAACCCTAACTTAACTCTGGTGCCGTGTCACATAGAAATTTTTTGATATTTGCAACCATAGTAAAACAAAGACTTATATTTTTGATACTTATTTTATATATTTAAATGCCACTTAACAAAGAAAAATCAACCAAAAAAATGAGTTCGCATGTCAGAGGGGACATAGGTTCACCATCACTGGCCTAGAAGATGATACAGATAGCCCTCCCGGCCACCAGTGTGTCTGCAGATTCATAATCGGGACCCGATGGACTGTCATAATAACTTGGAGGCCAGTAAGAACCAGCAACAATAATGCACGTGTGGCAGAGGAGAAATACTCCCCATGGTCCGGGTGCTCAGTCTTGGAGTTATTAACTCCAAGACATTATTAACTCTTCTCTCCCCAATCCGCCAGGATATCCTTTTGACTCCGCCTGTATAACATGTCCTGAATCTAAACCCTTCTCATCACTTCCAGCCGGCTCAGCCTACCAGCATCTCTGCCCTAGAGCAAGGCAACAGCCACCTAACCAGTCTCCTGGCTTCTGAGCAGCAGCCACGTGATCCCAGTCAGTGTGAACTAGATCGTTTCGGCTCCCATCTCGCTCTGAGAAAAGGCCAGCATCTTACCTGTCCCACCAGGCCCTGAACTACCTGCTCCTGATCGTCTCTGACCATGTCTCCTGCACTCACTCTTCCTCAACCTCACTGGCCTCCTGGCTGCTCCGCCCACCGCCAGGCATCCTCCAGCCTCAGAACCCTGCACTCCCCACTGCCTCGCCCCACACCTCTGCCAACAGCACACTCCCCCAGCTCCTTCAGATCTCTCCTCAAATGTCACTTCATCAGGGAGGCCTTCCCTGACCACCCTATTGAAAACGCAAACCAACTCGAACACCACCACCTTTAACACCTGCTAACATGTGTGATAATCTACTCTTTGGGTTCTTCGTCCATTACAACATAACTCCACGAGAGCAGGATTTTTGTCTCTTCCGCTCACTACTCTTTAGAACTTAAAACAGGCATTCATGCCCTAGCCTGTTTGGCTCAGTGGATAGAGCATGTCGGCCTGGGGACTGAAGGGTCCCAGGCACGTACCTAGGTTGCAGGCTCGATCCCTGGCCCTGGTCAGGGCACATGCAGGAGGCAACTAATCAATGTGTCTCTCTTGCGTACATGTTTCTCTCTCTGTCTCCCCCTTCCTTCCACTCTCTCTTAAAATCAATGGAAAAATATTCTTGGGTGAGGATTAAAAAAAAAAAAACACACACAGGCACCCAGCAGGCCTGATGATGGCTATTTCTTGGGAGTAAATGAGTGGTTCCATGGGGTTCCCTAAGCAGACATGACAATGGACTTTCTAGCTACTAGGTTCTGCAAAGGCCCATCTGCTTACACAAGTGTCTTAGCCTATCTGTGCCTTCATTTCTAAAGGTTTAGGAGCATAAAAAAGCTTTAGGATAGCTGCAACTCTTCCAAAAATATAAAATTAAAATACAAAAGAAATAAAGTTTTAAGATCTTTAAGTTGAGTTCATGAAGGTGTAAGCAATATGAAAATGCAAAAACAAACAAACAAACAAAAAAACACAGAGCAATATATACATACAATTCTACAAAAGAGACCTTTAGAAGTGAAATAAAATTAAAGTGCCTGGGACTTAATGGACTGGGGATTATTTGCCCCTGAACTTTTCTTATCATTAAGGAGAATTAATGCTTTACAGTAAAGAAGCTAGACCAGCTTTGGAATCAAGAACTCTTTAGGGTATTTGAGAGTCAGTTTTACTAGATTAAGGGCATTCCTTTGATGTTTCCTGGACCCTCTCACAGCTTCCCAGCAAAAACCAAAGTCAAGTTCAATTCATTGACTCCAGGGGAGTAAATAAAGGGCGTGTCGATGCGTGTGTTTAATTAATGGCAGTAGAATAGCTACAGACAAACCACCAACAATGTCACCTCTAATTTCTGCAAAGCCTCCCTAGGATCTGAGATCAAAGCTCCAACCTCTTAAGAAGGCTTACCAACGAGAAACTGCCCTTTTTTTAATGGTAACTCATAAAACAAATTAAAACACAAATGGTCAGAATGACTTTTGACATGGTTTTCTCTGTATCACAAGGCGAAAGATAGATTTACAAGTATCTCCTAAAGTACAGCCTTCAGCAATTATTACTGCAGCCTAAAAATTACTAGAAAAAGAAAAAGCCAACATAATGTTTAACTGATTGCTAATATATAAACAGGAAACAGTTTTTTTCCAGAGGGGATGGATGTATTGTTTAGAGCCCATCTGGGCGGATGAAATGTTTAATATGTGTTTGGAGGGAGGACCAGGGATATTTGTGGTTCAAAGAATCTCTAAGATATAACACTGGCCAGGGACAATCTTTCTGGGAGGGGACCTTTCCAACCTTGGCCCCCAAACAGAAACATCTCGGTAACACTAGACCAGGATGGGCGAAGTCCTGAAGAACTTTCCAGGCTCCACTTGATTCTGGCAAGTCATCTAATAATAATAGCAGTTCATAACTGTCAAGAGCTTATTATATGCCAGGCACTGTGCTGAGCACCTGCCATAATTTTTTTCCATTTAATTTTCACAGGAATCTTCTAGGGTGGTATTATTATTATTCCGATTTAGTAGATGAGAAGAGGAGGCCCAGAGAGCTGAAGTAATTTGCCCTTGAAAATACAGCGAATAAGTGGGGCAGGGATTTGAACCGGGATAGCCAGACTTACCAGAATCTGAGTCA